TTTTTTTTTTATGCTTATTTTATATCGCTTCGAGTCTGATGAGACTATATGGCGATTGATCAAGACTTTAAAAATGGTTAGATCTCACCATTCTACCCGGCCAGGAATCGAACCTGGAACCTATCCGTTGTGAGGCAACGGCCTTAACCACTACGCCAGGCCACCGGGATGATTCTTAACGAGTGAAACGATTGTAAACAAATTGTGATCATAAATGTTACATTAAATAGCCATCTTCCGTAAATGAGCATAATGAATACTAGTTGTATCCGTATGAATTGTCATGTTTCATACTCAGTCTTATTGAACTGTCCTCGTATTATGATTTATTATATGATATTTTGATAATAAACTTGCTTTACCGTCATTCGTAAAGCGAATGCATTGAATTACAATCTGGGGAAATTCCTGATCACCTACCTTGATAGCACACTGTGTGCCTTTGGAGTCTTCTAGTAGGCGAATTATCATTTTGAAAATGAAACCCACAAGAAGAAATCCGTCCATTTTATTTCGTCAAAAGTGCTAAGAATAATTTTTCTTAAGAGGTCTCTTATTTACCAAAAAATTTTGTTTTGAGAAGTCCCCCATCAGCACAATAAATGACAAAGTTTGTTCCCAAATGCCACCATTCGGTTGTCGGAAAAGGTAATGAATACATATCCTCAGAAATTGAGAACAAATCTATTAAACAGATCCATTCACTTTATATACTGTTTTAACTTTATTCAATCATTACAACGAAATGCTGCATTTCAAAGGGTCAACAACATCATTAAATAGTTTCTAGTGTATTGTTTTCTCTTTTGCTCTTGTTTCCTCCCCTTCACTTTTAATACTTCAGTTTTAAACAGTATGGTTATAATTTATTGTAGTCTCAATACAATTAATTATATATAATATATTAAAATATATACTTTCCATATTTTTCTCGTTTTTTTGCTTTTTCCATTTTTTTGTTTTTTAATTTTTATGGATACTTAATATACAATAATTAATGGAAAAAAAACTACCCACGAAGTAGCAATATACGAAACAAAATATTCGTCGTAATCTACTAGAAATAATAGCTGGAATCATTTTTGAGTAAAAAAAATTATGTTCGATACTTCAATTTAGTACGACAATGGTAAGTGTAGGGTGAAGCAACCAGCATCAACTTGTACCAGTGATTGACGTCTTGTCGATATAAAAATTCCTACGTATAAAAAAATTTAGTGGAAAAACCAGGAAATTGTTTCCATCCAAAATGTTTTTTTAAATTTTTTGCAAACTGTCAAAAAACGGGGAGAATTTCAAAATGCGCTAGCTTGTCCACTGAATTTTTCCATGCGTGACGTTTAGTCTCTGGGATAAAAAGTGATATGAAATATTTTTCAATGAAAATAACTGTCAATTCCTCTGCATCTAGGAAGCTGCGGTGCTGGCCCATTCACCCTACACAAATACTTTAATTTCAATCTATCTTGTATCTCACCGCGAAATTGACGAAAAATCAACTCGCCTAAAGTATAAAATAGGTATCTTCTTTTGAGGTAAGCGGTAGAAAAAAATAATAATCACCTAATAGGTACTTACTTTTAAGTTTTTAGATGATTAAGTAATGTCTGAGCACCCTGGACAAATAATTTAAAAGAAGGGTGACGCTGCAAAGAGGTATATTCGCTCGACTAGAGTCGCCGTACGATTAATTGATTAATACTTAGTATTTCTATGGCTAACGCGCGATATCTTCAATATTTTCCATTCTATTTAGTAAATGCAGGATCTGACAGTTGAGGAGTGTATAGATGCGTTCAGAAAGGCAGTCTTATTTTCAGATCTGCACGGAGGGAAATTCTTTAGAAAAATTGTAGGTCTGTTGAGGTAAAATTTCTAAAGATCTGTAATTAAATTACGAAGAACGGGAAAAACTCTATCTAGCCAATAAAATTTCCAGCGCCGCCACTAGAATTTTTCTACAGAATTTCTCTCCGTGTGGAAAAATCTATGGTTGGGTTCACGTATAGAAAAAAAAATGATAGAAAAGCCTAGTTCACACGCTGAAAAATTCTACTGAATTCCTATTGAGAACTCTATTATTTTTTCGCCGATTCCACAGCTTTTTTGTATGTTTTTTTAACAGAAAATGTTCAATATAAACTATTTCATAGAAAAAATCAATTAATTTCTTGGAATAGACAATTATTGATTTTTTTTCTATAGAACTTCCTCTGTCTAAATTTTTCAAGTTTTTTGATTAATTATTTTAATGCATTTGAAAATGAATGGAGTGGCAAAAGCTTGAAAAATACATATCGAGAATTTCTATACAAATATTTCAATAGAGTAACTTGTATAGAAAGATCAAATTGTATGGACTCTTTCTAAAAAATAGTTTCTAATTAAAGAAAAGACGAAGAACTTGCGGAATTTTCCAATAGAATTTCAACAGAAATCCGATAGTATTTTCTATCGAAAGGGGAACTTGCATGAATGCTTTAAAATTTTTTAATCCCAGGTTTCGGCTTTAAATATTCAATTATTTATGGTCAGTTTATTGTCCAAAATTAAATAGCACAAATAACGCTATTTAAATTTAGACAATAAATTTAATTAATCTCATTTAATTCAACTGAACTCCATACAAGTTCCCCACTCGCTGGGTTTTTCTATTGAATATTCATCATTCGATTTATATTTTATCTGGCAGATTTTTTCCGTAAAAAATTATTAGAATCTAGGCTGCATTTCTGGCTGTTCACATAATTTTTTATGAAGTCTTACGGTAAGTATAAGTCTATAAGGAGTTTTCATTCTCTTGAAAAGTTTATTTCGTGGTACGTATCGCCTCCACTATTATCCACGCGTATTTGATATGAATACATTGACAACCGAAATTCGTACGATGTTCCAGAGTAGTTGGGAACATTGAAAAAACACGGAAGCTCGCGATTAATTTTTCGACATTAATTTGTACTTGAAAACATGCGACTCCCGTGATCTACAAAAGCACGAGGTTCACTTCGATACGACGACCCTATCCTCAACCAATGGAAATAGCATTTATCAACTTATCACAATACTAAAAATCATCCTCAAATAACTGTTAAGTTAGAAATCGATAATAAAACAAGACCTCTCATATCCTCCGGCAATAAAGATAGGATATTCTAGTTGGAATAAATTATTTGATGAACTATGATTTCTCAATTGTACATGTGGTGTATCCAAATCGTACTACTAATCCCCTCGACGTGGAAAAAAAATCATCTAAACTAGGATATTTAACAAAATAAAAATAGTTTTGGTAAGCGTAAATCCATTTTTTCTTCTCCTGTCGCAATTATCACACTACTGGCACTATGCCTTAACTGAAAAAATACGTACCGCAAATCAGAGATAAAATCGTAACATCAAACTTAAAACTCCAAGTTATATGATATTTTCTATCAACTAAGATAATTTCTACGAAACACTTAGAAATAAAATCACTGGTCAATTCAAGTGGAATGATGATTAATTCTAAGTAAGTCTGTGAGTTTCGAAATGATTTTACGTATGAAAAAATTCAACAAATTGAAAAATCTGGCGGCTGCTAAAAAATTCTGTTGAAATATCAATAGAATGTGTAAAGCAGAAAAATATCATTAAATTTAAAATTTCTGAACTTATATTTTCAATTTTTTCTTCCATTTTGTTTTGTTTCGTATTATGTCAAAAAATGGATGTAGAAAAATGAATTTTAAGAACAATGCGGAGTAAAAAATAATTATGCAATTTATGCCTGGAAATTTTATGGAAAAAAACCAAATCTATCGATTTTAATTTCATAAAAAAATCAATTTCATGTCCGAGGAAAATAGCTACAATTTCCTATTGAATTTTTTCATGCGCCGAAAACTGCCTCTTGCAATCCAGACAACTAAAGACATAGTGACAGAAATGCTTCCGCTGCATTAATTAAAAAAGGGTCGATAAAAAACCTTGATACTGCTCATTATTTTCAACAATGTTTTCTCGCATTCAACAATTTTGTATTATTGGTTCCTCGACATCATTCGCAGCAAAATAATAAATAAATAAATTTATCAAATTCAGTAGCAAAAAAACTCGTGTCAGGGAAATGAAACAATGGCCAAACGAAATCATTCACTGCGTTTCGATAAAAAAGTAAATGAAAATCACCGGAGATGGACCACGAACAATTAACGATATATACAGTTTTAAAAAAAACATTCAATCGTAATTAAATCACTAGTAACAATAGGAATGAGTTAAATTATCGAGTATGCATTGAATGTTGGATAACAGAAATTAAATGAAAAATAAGATCTGTAACCTGTATATAAACTATTGCATTTTATGGTAAATGAAATAAATACTTTGTTCTATTGAATTGTTCTCTGGATTGGATTCGACTCCACCGAGTTGTGATATGAGTATATAATTCCTTCAAATAAATTGTAGTCATGTTTGTAATGGAACAGTTGTGTAACAGTTCTATTGCCATATTTCGGAAATGAAAACCTAGTAGTAAATCAATGATTGAATGTAATGATGTAATAAATAACAACAAATGGAGGTACTGCAATAACATTGACATCGTTGAGTTAAAAAAAACATAAGGTAATATAACTTAGTCTATCAGGTACTGAGTTGGGTTTTTTTTCTCTGTCATGGTAACATGGGCCAGTCTGGTATGTCTGGATTGTGTTCCGTTTGCATAATTTTTCTACCTGTCAGGAGACTCTTGTGAATCGAAATACTCATTTTGTCTATTAATTATAACTTCACACATAAAATCGAACTTTACAGATGAAGAAAGATGAAAACAACGGATAAAACGCATCACGAGAATTCAAACTACACATAAGGACAACAAAAATCGTTAATTGATTGAATGAAAAATGATCATTGTGAATGAAACACGATGCAAAGGAAAAATTCATTGAAAAAATCTACGGTTTTATGCGTGTGTCGGAGAAACTAAAAAATGTGATTATGAGCCTTCATCATTCGTGGCTCTAGTGGAATGTTCAATCTGTCGATTGTTCCTGGGAGAAGAGTGATACCATGTGTGCAGGATGTGTCAATGTGCCAGGAATTCCTACATGCAATACTATTTTTTCTGTTATGTTATTTGCTGATATCAATGGAGCGGATCGAAGTTATCTTCATATTCACTATCAACAGCTATTACATGACCAATGCTCCCCCTACAACAATGACAACTTCTTTAGAAATTACTGCTATGTACATTAATATGATTCTTTTTCCAATTCGTGTCTGTACAACGCTGCTGTCAACTTCAGATTTTCGCAGAAAGTGGAAATTCAAATCGTGAGCAAATATATTTTTGTCTGTATTCTGTTGCGTCAACCAACACATTATTTGGTTATATATTTTTGAATTTCATTCCTCCTGATGCGGGTGATTTGCATACAAGCACAAACTATTCACCCACTTATCATCGTACACTAGAATATCTAATATATACACATTAACAATTAAGCAGTGTGATTTTCTCGTCTTTTTCGTTTTTCTCTCATTTTTTAAAAAACTAAGTTATTCTGTATATCTGTATCATAATCATTGTTTCATGATTTCCCTTACATCCAGATTTTCCTTTTGATTGTGTCATTACTCATTGAGACTTAACGGCAGACCTCTGACGGCGGACGTTTGCTCAAATTACTGATCACAGGATATTTTTTTCAACCAGTGAATAATCCCATTTATCTCGGTCTCAAGTTCGTCCACGAAAATATTGTTTGGTTTACTTACTCTCAATGGATTTAATGATGCCTTGTTCCCGAGAAAAGTGGTGGCGAGGTTCAACCGTTGGGCTCCAATACCGGAATTGTTATTGGTGTTATTTTGTGGGGTGTTGATGACACACAACCGAGGTTGTTATTCAAACTAGTATCACTGCCGGCTAATGTACAGTCCATCATTGTGAATTCTGTCGTGTCTAAATCTGCCTCTTGATCAAACTGCCTGGTGGATAATGGGCTGCTCTTCTGCTCGTACTGTGAATAAACACGTGGTCAATAACATTCTCGAAATCATGTATTGAAAAATTCAACAGAAGACTCAGCTGAGTTCTATTGGAAGTCATTAATTGCTGATCTTCAAGAGAATGATAGATTACCTGCGGATTTTCTGTAATATGAAGATTCATTTGATCCTCATTTGAATTATTCCAAGAAGTCAGGAGAGGCTGTTTACCCTCCACTGTACCATTCGCCTGAATTCCCTGAGAGAGAAGTACATATTGATTTTCGTCAAATTGTTCTTTTTTTTATTTTGATAGTTTTAAATATTCTCAATTGCCATTCAGTTTCACATAGCCCAGGAGTGTTTTTTCTACTTTTTTTATTATAGAATCAATTTTTGGAAACTCCTGCGCGCGGTAAAATCCAATGGAAATTGTGAAATATTTCAGATTATGAAGATGGAACAATTGAGATGAAAAATTGAATAATTATGTCCATCGTACCTTGGTATCGAGCTGAGGATTCGTTGAATTTGGTGACGAAGGACACAAAGTAGCCAATTCAATCTCATTACAGTTCATAGTTGCATTAATGGGCTGTTGATTAACAGAAGTTGATGATCTATCAACACAACAAGCATTTCCATTTCTCAAAAGAACTCGATTTTTGAGCGGTTGCGCAGTCTCCCGAAGTGACCTAGAGTGTTCCCATTTTTTTCTACAGTATATACTGCACAAGCTGATCGTGATGAATCCAATGCTGATACCAACGCCAAGAATAATTCCCAGGCTTTGATCCGGCTTTGGTATCGCAGGTGGTTTTCGCTCGTTCGAAAAATTGGGACTTTTCGATGCAGTACTACTGGTGAAAACAAGAACTGCGTCAGACGGTTTTCCATATCCAACTCTAGTTGCTGCCTGAATCATCACATAGTGCCGTCCACCCGACGAAAATTCAGGCAAAAGTGCCCACGTTTGGTTACCAGGTACTGTTACATTGCCCCAAACCATTGACTCAGTTGAATCCGACACATACGACACGAAATAATGCCGAATTATTCCATTCGTCTGAATCGGTTTTTTCCAAACAACACGTATTTTCGTACCATCCCTGAAACTCTGGACTTCCTCAGGCTTTCCTGGCACATCTTCACCCGTATAGCACTCTATACTCTCACTGAACTCATTCAATTGCCTGGAGTCATTTTGAAAGGATCGAACCTTGAATTGATAAAGTGTGAATGCTTTCAGTTTGTCCACTGTTACTTTTGTACCATTCACTAACAGCCATTTTGATTCTATGGTTGGTGATTCTACTGGCTGATAGCAAACTTCAAATTTCTTTGAACGTGTGTGCAATGATGTCCAGGTTATTTGAATTGATGATGATGAGAGTGGAATTGCTTCTAGTGCCATTGGGATATTTTCTATAGTGAAAGTAAACAAATGAATGAAAATGGTGATTCAGGTTTGATTTACGTATGACGTACGACAAAAATTTACAGAAAAATCTAAAAATTCTACTGAATTTCTATTGAAACTTGACGTAATTTTTTTTTCTACACAAATTGTTGAGCATAAATTTGCAATTTTTCTCCACTGCATTTACTTTCTGCTTCTTGATAAAATTCAAGAGTTTTGAGAGAAAAAATTTTTCCAAAGTAAGTTAAATAAAAATATCTATTTAAAAAATGCATGATTTTTTAAATTAATTCTAATAAAATGCTGTAGACTTCCAATCGAAATTCAATAAATTTCTTCAAATACTTATTTTTTTCCAGTTAATTTTCGTTCTCGTTCAACTCACCTGCATCGTTATATATCGATTTAATTGTTTTCGATACGCAATCAGTTACTACTCCTTTATTCTCGACGCATAAACCGAGGATGTAAGAAACGTTGGGATCTGCGAAGACGATTGGATTGAAATATAATTAATTACAGAACCAATTACCACAGAAATAAAACCGAAAACACTTACGTAAATTAGTGAAGATATAATCTGTAGCATTTTTAGACAATGTTTCAGTGAGTATCCTGTCACCGTTAATATTCTCGCAATACACTTGCCAGGCATCGAATTTCAATCCTGAATAATTATTCCTATTCGAATGATTCTCCCATTTAATCTGGAGCGAAAGCATTTAGAATTATCCCAAATTATTTTAACAATCTCAATTTTGAAAAAATTGAAAAATGATTAAATACGCTCATAAAAAAATTAATTCTTCTCCCGAGAAATTGATAGAATTTTTCTATCAGAAAATACATATTGAATTATATAAAGTGATATCATTCTCAATAGAATTGTAATAAGACTGACAAAACTTTCTAGTAAATTTTCCCATAAATGTATTCACCTTTGAACTAGATGCATTCAATGTCACCACATGAATATCAATAATAGTTTTAACATTAAGTTCATCAGTATCAACACTTGGCGTTGAAACGCTGGTCCATGTCAACTGGGATTCACTGATGTTCGGCCATCCCTGTTCCGTTCTCGCTAAAACCCTCAAGTCGTACTGCGACCCAGGAAGTAAATCTAGATGCAGAATACGGATGAAAATGTTGTGAAAAGTTGACAATCATTCCGTGAGAATGATGATTATGTTGCTAATACCTGTTAGAATATAACTCTCGACATCAGCAGGTACAGTAATAACCCGCGATGATGGATGCTCGTGAAGCCTCCATTGGATTTTGTACTCAATAACAACGCCTCTGGCTTCTCTCTTCGTTAAAGGCTCCCATGTTACATTTAATTTTGTACTGCTTATTATATCAACGTGTACTCTAGGCGCGCTCTTTGGAACTGAAAGCGTTTAATAAAGTTATGTTTTATTTGAGCCCCATTTGACCCTAAACTTCCAGACATTTTACAATGATTTTATCATTTAAAGTTTGCAGGCCTCAATTTGAAACTAGAAAGTTTACTCTTGAGGGATGATTGATAAAATGATTTAAAAATTACAATTTTTGACAATGACGAGTATTTATTATAAATAATTTATAAATAATCGTAACAAATTTATTCATATTCAGAATTTTACATTATGCAACTTACCTTCAATGGAATTGGCACAAAAATTCAATCGAGTTCTAATAAAACTCCAGACGAATTCTTATATCGTTCCAATATAATTTCGATGGAATTTCTTTAAACAAATTATTAATTTGATCGTCAAAAACTCACCACTTGGTGCAGTAGCACAAACAATCGGTTCTGATTGATCACTAGCTCCATGATTATTCCATACACGAACGTAAAAAGAATAATTGGTATACGGTTCAAGTAATTTTGTCACCTCCACCGACGTCGAATTACCAGGTTCAGGGCATACTTCCTCTTTACCACCTTCAGCAGGGCTATAATGGACGGTATACGCAGTGATACTTGTTGATGGTAGAGATTTTGGTGGTACCCATGAAATTTCAATTTTAAATGGCGAATCTGAATAGCATTTAAGAGACGTTGGTGTAGCTGGACTGTTGCGAGATGCGTTAACTTGGAGCCGACCAGCAGCCCAAATTTCACCAGCGGAATTCACCGCTACGCACTGATAAATACCAGAGTCTGATGGTACTGTTGCTGATATCGCCAGTTCTATTTTATTATTTTCTTTGATGTATGTTGTTCTTCGTCCTGGGCACAATTTTTAAAACCATTACATATATATTTATATGCAATCTTCATTTTAATAACGAATTATGGATTTTCCTATGTTTTCGACTGGAGATTGATTAATTCATGAATTGTTCCATCATTTCTAAGATTTCTGGCATTTTTCTCCACTTAAATTCTTTCTGATTGTCGTGAAGGTAGTGTAGGCTCATAAAGAAATGTATTTTTGTTATCTATTATGAAATTTTTCATCTTCAAAGTGCTGACAGTTTGTTCTTCCATCAAATCATCGTGGAATGAATGATGAGAACAATTGTACACACGTATTTGTAATCCATCTTCTGCTCGGCAATACATTTCGTATGACACCTACCCTAGGACTTGAAATTATTACTCACCATTCATAGCAATGTTCTCGGAATCTTTGAGCCAATAAATTTGAGGTGGAGGAGTTCCTTGCGCTTGACATTCGAATCTCGCAGTTCTTCCATTTGGACAGATCTGATTGACTGGTTTTTTTACCAGCGTTGGTGGAACCGATACGTCAACAGTAATATTCTACAAGTGAATTAAAAATGAAAGAAAAGAGGAAGTTGAAATTAGTGGAATATTCATCAGTAAAACATTCAATTCAGTAGATTGAGCCCTTGGCTGAGTTTTTGAAGAATATCTCCGAATCTAAGGGAGATAACGCAATTTGTGTAATGACCTTTTTTGTAGCTCGCAGTTCGCTCTATAAAAAAGGTCATGACAAAAATTTGGCTATTGCCCTTAGATTTCGAGATATTCATTGTAAAATGGCCAATAGTCAAAATTAACTCAAACCGCTTTACCGGATTATTTAGAAATACTTGGACACTGGACTGAAAAAATTTGGACCCTCCTAAATTCCTCTGAATCAAATCTTTCGTTTATTTCAGCTTCATATCAACGCGAATGAGAAAAAAATTCTCACAATACCTGAACTTCCAATCCATTGCTGACGGCATTTTTCGTGGAACACAGATAAGTACCAGCGTCAGAAGTGCTGACATTCTTCAATGCGAGTACACTGATCCCATTTGTGGAGTTGAGAAGAATGCGATTTTGCACAGTGCCGCTTCCATCTGAGATGTAAACGTGAGATCGAAAATTTACCACCACGCGAGTGTAAAAAAATAGACCGTAAAAAAAATGCAAAAAGTGACACAATATTTTCGATTTGCGTGTTAAATTCCGAGAAAGATGATGAAAATATTTTAGCTGATATGTCACCTGAGTATTTTGGTACAAAAGACCAGATGATTAAGGGCGGAGGATAGCCACTGGCAGCGCAAATAACTTTGAGATTCGATCCATTCAATAACGAATGATTGTATGAGATTTGTGGATAAAGTGAACCTAAAGTTCTAGGCTCATTAGTTTCCAATCTTGAAATAACTGTGAGTTTTGCTTCTTTGCTCCTTTTGGTCTTTTTCATAAAATCATTTGTCGCCACACATCTGTGAAGAAAATTTTTAGTTTATGGGAATTTGAGATTCGGAATTCCATTCAGCAGATCCAGCATGAATCTTGCTAGTTTTGTTTTCCATTTGTGGATTTTTACATTTTTTGTTTCGAATGGAAGCATTTTATTCGTTAAATCCAAAATTTTCCATTTTTTGGGTCAGAATCATTAATTCTGGCCTCAAAAGTTAGAATCTGAATTCTTTGAGACGTACTCTTTTACTAGTAATGCATTTGCTTGACATTAAGTTATAAATTTCTCTCGCAAGAACTGAAATTCTGTTCTCGCATGTTTTCAATAGAATTCTTTTTCTTACCTACAGTTAACATTTAAATAAATAAATATTTCAGTGTTCATTATTACCTATATGAACCAGCATCAGACGGTTTTGTAGCGCTAATATAAAGAACACCAGGTGGTACCATGAAATATCTGCAAATAGCGAAAAACAAAAATTTCAACAATTCCCGTCACTAATGAACACGAATTCCTTGATCATTAGAGAAACGTACTTAGTATTATTGTGATCCGTTAATACAGGTTCTCCGTTATGTTGCCAAGTAATGTTTGGAGGAAACGGTACACTGTCAATTAGACATGAGAATCTAGCGATTTCGCCTTCCACAACCGTCAAATCATTCGGTGATTTTTTGAAGGTATGTCCAAGCTCTGAAAAATGACACATTATCAATTCGAGTGACAATGCATCCTTGGAGCCCTCCGTGGAAATCATTCCGGTATACATACCAGCAATTTGTACAGTAGTTGGTGATGATCGTAACGATCCACCACTGGTGTGACCAATGCAACGGTACACGTGTTTTTTAGATGGTTTAGTGCCACTGCTAGTCCCCTCTTTTGACTTTTGTACCAATTGTAAATTTTGTTTCTGTGTGAAAACCGGGGGAAAAAGGAGTGAGAATTGCATTTTTTACTACAGACGTGAAAAAAGTGAGTGGAAAACTCGGGAACGTTCCTTGAAAAATTTTATTGGACGTTTTATTAGCTCTTACGCGCAATTTCTGTAGAAATATTTATGGAGAAAAATCACACTTACTGTTAGAAAAAATTGGAGTTCTCAAGGGTCAACATTAGTTTCGATTTAGTGGAGGCAAAATCATGGAATTTCAGATTCTGATGATTATTTCTCCTTTTGGATTTCAGAAAAATTTGTTCTGCCGAGAAATTATATCCTCCCGAAGAGGTCTTTTGTCGCGTTTTGGACTAAAATTCACTGTTTCTATTGAATTTTTACCCAAATAAAAAATTTTCAATGGCAAAATTCCTTGAAATTTCAGTGCAACTGTCACTTGATAAAAATTTCCAAAAAGCGTTTCGGAGAAAAAAATATAGTAAGAAAAAACTTGAAGTTTTTTTATTCAACTTGTAAAGTAGAGGGGCAGAAATTTTTATCGAACAATTCTTGATAGAAGAAATTAAACATAAAAAAAAGAAAACCCATTAGTCTCTCCCTATCAGACATTTTCATAAAAATATCTATAAAAAGCGCCCGGAAAAACAACAGAATTTCCAATACAATTTTAAGAGAATTTCCTAGTAAATCCGCTAGATTTTTTTCTCCTAAACTTTTTCACAGGTGAGAACATTAATCTCGTTCGGTCATATTCACAATTTTTCGGCAATTCTGTACCTTATAAAAATGCAATGAGCCATCATCCAATAATCCACACCGAGTGACACCACACGGTGGCGCCTGTTCACCATTATAGAGCCAAGTAATGTTGTCATTGCTGCTAGCTAAACAATTCAACGTGACACCACGTTTCCCCAATACTATATTACCACTCGGCTCAATTGGCAGCGTTAGACCAGAATTTTTTGCAAAACGCAGGTCTACGCTGTCTCCCTTAGGCCCATTTTTGCCATGCAAATTGCTAGGACCTTTAACACCTGTTGGAAAATTTTCTCAATTATAATCTCCACTCTTATGAATATTTCTTGTCACGAGGAAAATCATTAGTGCAAGCACGTATGAACAAAATTTCATAGAAAAACCTAGCGCTTTCCCTTAGAAATTCAATTGAATGTCGATTGGAACTCTATAAAAATTATATTCTAGTTTTATCAGAATTCTATTCAAAAATTCAATTCGTTTATTGTGACAATTCTGTTAAAAATTATGCGACGTTCTCCCCGCGTTTTCAAATATATATTTGTTTACAGAAAATTCAACATCTATAGACATTTTTTCAGTAAATTTTTATATAAAATTTTTCTGTTAGGATTTATTCTATAAGAATTCTTAGGCATGATTTCTCTAAGTTGTTTTTCGTGGGATTTTCTACAGCGAAATTGATACTATGGACTTTTTTCTATCAAATATCTCTTATTGAAATTCCATGGTAAAGTGACATAATCTCCTACAGAATTCTAATAAATAAAACTCCAAGGCATTTTTACAGAGTTCCAAAGAAACTTCAATAGAATTTCTTAGAGAAAGCTAAGTTTTATAAACTGTTAAATTTTTTCGTGCGTGAGAATGAAAAAGAATCTTGTCAAATGCAAAAAAGAAAAGTACAGAATCCCTGAAATATAGAACTCTCGAAATCCCCTTATGTTTTTTCGGAATAATTACCCCACGCTGACATGAATAAACCACGAATACAAGAATGAAGGAGAATTAAAAAGGAAGAAAAATATAATGCTGGAAAAAAAATTATGATGCTGCAAAAATCGTATCAAAATCCTTGATATCCCCAGATCTTTGCAAATCTCAAGAAATTGAATGAAATCCTTTAAAATTATTGAGGACTTCCTGAAATCTCTGGAAATCTGTTGTACATTTTTTTTCATTATGATTACTCCTCGCTGATACGAATGAAACCCTGAATGCACGAATGGAAAGAGAATTAAACAAACAAAATTAGAGAATTTAAAAATAGAACGATTTGAATGCATTCATTCGGAAGCAAAAACACGAAAAACATGATGCTTGGGAAAAAATTATGCTTTATAAATCTCAAGAAATTGACTGAAATCGTGTGAAATCACTGAAGATTTCCTAAACCCCTTCCCATCCCTCCGAAATCCCGGAATCCTCGAAAGCGAGAATTCTCGAAATCGGTTGTACAATTTTTATTCCGAATGAATAAAAACCCCTCGGCCGCGTTATCACCTCAACATGAAATATGTACACGGCCCATTTTCCTCATCGAAAGCCCACATTCATCATTGTTTGAATGACAGGTTGTCCTGTTCCTCGATCGATCCGCAGTTGCGTAACGCAACGAATAAATATTAAACCTGGGGGCCAATTCGCGAGGCAAAAAAAATTCTTTTCACCTCCAGCGCGCGTGGGCGAGTTAATCAAGGCTCGAATACGCGAGCTCAACGATCATTAGATTAGCTATCGCTCCATTGATGCAGGATGAATGATCGGGATGCAGTGAAATGCAGTATAAACTCTTAAATACAATACCTGCGGCGCAAAGGGGCTCGAGCACTTCCGTAAACAAAATGCCGAGCAAAAGCACCCGCGCCGCCATATATCCGGGCTCATCGGTGCTGAATCCTCAATGGGAGAATTTAGCCTATCAAAATAATAAACACACTTATCACTTCGTAATGTCCTCAACACGTGCCCGCACCACAACAAGATTATTATTTAATTTATGCCTCATCTTTTGGTATTTCCTCCTCAACTCGCAACACCCATTGCCCGACGACGTTTAATTCACATTCTGTGCGTATTTTACTCCGCTTTTTTTTTCTATTTCTTTCTGAATGTGAAAAAAAATTCGAGAGCCCTCGCGCGCGCGCTTGAGCCCCTCTTTCGATCACGCTGTTCCGTTCGCCAAACTCTCGCCCCAACGGCTCACTTTTCTTTTTACACACGATAATAAACACGTTTTTTCAATTTTTCGTTATACACTTGGTCATTGTCGCACGCTTCATCAGATTGTCGTGCTTCATGATGCATTTAATGTTGACACTTTTTCTTCGAGAATTAGGGAATGAAAGTTGCGGTGATAATCACTCGCATTTCACGTGTCAAGTGAATATAATCCCAACGATGAAACGAGTCCGGCAGGCGAGAGCACGATTCACTACACAGGCAATTCCGCGCATCTCTCTCTCTTGTTTCAATACATCTCCGTCTCGCTCGTGCAATTTCACCGTGAGGAACACCAAGCATACCGACCACGCTCCAAAATGCTTGCCATTTAGATGAATGTTTGGTGGATAGTCGGAACAATCACTCATTCAATTTTTTTTATATCGACAAGATGATTGATTATGCAAATTTAATTTGGAGGATTGGACTCGTCGGAGGTGGACAGACTTGTTTAATAATGAAAATCATTTGAAAAATTTTGATTAAATGTAAGTAATTTTCCATTTTACCGACGGAGGAAATGAAAATTGGCCTTTAGGCCTGCGGTTTTAGATCATTTTTCGGTAATTATTTGTAATTAATCGAATTGTGATTTAGAATATTAGTCCCGATAGGTCATCTTGATCGCGTTGTTGAAAAAAAATTGTTGAAATCGAAGTGGATGTAAAGGTAAGAAATATTGATGTTGGCTGCCAACGTTGGGTCAATACTTATGAAAAAGTGAAAAATGTCAACGTTGGGGCAATGTCGGGCCAATGTTGGCAGCCATTTAAACCTTGAGGGGTCGCGCTATGGGGAATCGCAGCGGTTTTCCACACCAATTAATGATTAAAAGCTTCGGGAAACTCGACTCTTCAGAGCTCGGTATTGGAGATATCTTCAGGAAATGTCGTACCAGTCGACATTTTTAGTTCAGCGGCACGGTAAAAGATGGCGGGATTAGTTTCATTTAAAGCGAAATTACTAACTGAATCGAACTGGCCATCGGACAGTAGAATGTAATAAATTGAATCAGCCAGCGGAGAAGTAAATGAGCTATTAGCAATGGGAGAAAGATTTTGCACGGTGCATTTGGAAATGCCGGCAATCTTTTGAACGGTAATCATCAAGTTTGGGCGAATTTTTTGCGCACACTCGGAGGCGCCCAAAACATCATTTTCGCCTGGAGCCAGGGTGTCAGATCTTGGATTTTTTCAGAGAGAAAGTCGACTTTTGCCAAAATCGAATTTTTCCGCCGGGTAAACGCTGATTCTGTATTTTCTGGCCCGCCTGATGCCACTGAGACCCTCACTTGCCCCAAAAACGCAGAAATAAAAAAAAATTTTTTTTCACCCCGAGCCAAAGTGTCGTATTTAGGGTTTTTTCGGGGGGAAAGTCGACTTTCGTCAAAATCGAATTTTTCCGCCGGGTGAAAGCTGATTCTGTATTCTTTGGCCCGCCTAATACCACTGAGACCCTCACTTGCCCCAAAAACGCAGAAATAAAAAAAATTTTTTTTTCACCCCGAGCCAAAGTGCCGTATTTAGGGATTTTTCGGGGGGAAAGTCGACTTTCGCCAAAATCGAATTTTTCCGCCGGGTGAACGCTGATTCTGTATTCTTTGGCCCGCCTAATACCACTGAGACCCTCACTTGCCCCAAAAACGCAAAAATAAAAAAAAAAAAATTTTC